GTAAGCCTTTAAGAGAAAAACCACCACGACTAGACCCAAGAGAAATGAAAACATGTCCACACAAAAATTTGTATGCAAATGTCTATAGTAGCATCATTCATGATAGCCGAACAGAGGAAGCAAACCAACCGTCCATTAACTGATGAGCAGAGAAATAAAATGTGGCATAACCGTGCAACGAAATACTTTTCAGCAATAAAAAGGAATGACATTCCGATGAACCTCAAGGACATTATGTTTTTTAAGGGAAAGAAACCCATGTTATATGATTCTGCTTATATTAAAGGGCCAGAACAAACAAATCCATAAAGACGGAAAGCAGATTCGTGGTTGCACAGGACTGGGTGGAGGGGGAAGTGGAGAATGATTGATCAAGTGTATGGGGTTTCTTTTGGGGACGACAATAATATTCTAAAATTAGGTGGTGGTGGTGATTGTACAACTCTGAATATACTAAAACCACTTAATTGTATACTTTAAATGGGTCAGCTCCATGGTATATGAATTACATCTCAATAAAGTTGTTAAAAAAAAAATAGCTAATGAAATAATTAACCCAGTGACAGGACGTCCCTGAAAGATGTGGTCTCACCCTGTCTGCTCTGATGAGCTTATGTCTTGTCTCACTGAGTTTGGCCATAGGCCACCCAGACAATTCAAGTGGAAAGGATATAGATAGGAAAGACAGGACCTACAGATTTCTCCCTAGAATCTAAACTAGGAGGATTTTCTCCTTCTTTTTTGTACAGATGATTTAAAATTTTATGGGGTTAATTTCACTATTCTATTTTCATTTCTGGGTTTCCAATCATGCTTCCTAAAGCATTCCCCATTCTAGGATTATAAATCTTATTAAACTAATGATTTCCTGTAATGTTTTTCTCTAATATTTTCCTCTAAGGTTCGTCTTATTGTGTTTAAAGCTCTGATTCCTCATGAATTTAAGTAACAAACTGGGGATCCAGGTTCTTTTTTGTTTGTTTTGCCAAATAGCTAGTCACTGATTAGATCAGGAGTATCTAATTTGTGATTAAAATGGACTTGATGTATCTTAAAACTTCCTGAAATTAACTGTAAAAAAGTGTGCGTGTGCGTGTGTGTGTATGTGTGTGCGTGCGTGTGCGTGTGTGTGTGTGTGTGTGTATGTGCGTGCACATCTCAGGGAACAGAGTTAAACAGCTTGTCAGATTCTCAAGGGGTTTTGTGAATCGCAGAAAAACCATTGGGCCCTCTCTACAGTCCATAACCTGGGGTCCAGGTAGGCAGTTGTAACACTGAGGCAGAATTCTAACACTGAGGCAGAATCTGAGCCGACAGGACAGTTGGTAAAGAATTACAAGGGAGGCCTGAATGACGACTCTTGGCGAAAGTTCTCTGTCACATGTCAAGTGAGAGTCACATCATCTTTCAGTTTGACATTTTACTGACACAGAGAACAAGATATGACTCTCACTGGCTCCCCCTGGGCCTATAAAACTTTAGGTTTTTAATCATCTGACAAAACAGTGGAGCTGACAAAACTTGGGGCCCTCTTCTCATAGAATTTGAGGAGACTTACAGTCCAATAAGTATAAATAAATATAAAAGTGGATGTAAAACTGCCATTACAAAGAAGTTTGCCGATCCTTATGTGCAGACTCAAGCATTTGTGTTATATATATATATATAAC